TACCACGCCAGGCTAATTTTTGTATTTTTAGTAGAGACGGGGTTTCACCGGGTTAGCCAGGATGGTCTCGATCTCCTGACCTCGTGATCCGCCCGCCTCGGCTCCCAAAGTGCTGAGATTACAGGCGTGAGCCACCGCACCCGGGCCCACTAGTACCATCTTTTAAAAAGTTTTTTACAGTCTTTTCCTTTGGCCATTCACCACCAGCTTACTCTTTTCTTTTTTTTTTTTTTTGCACATTACTTTCCACACAATTTTACTTTGTGGCCACAATGACATACTTTATTTGAATGTTACTTTCATGACTAGCAAATTGTTTCTATAGTCTTCATAAAGGTCATTTAAAATGGACATGCGCAGTAAGTCAAAGTCTTCCGTGCTATGGAATTCTGAATAGAAAGAGAACCTGGAATAGATCTTGTGAGTCCCGAGGTGGTATTTTCCTCCCAGCGGCGAGCTATGAGAAGTGGAATCACCAGATGTAGTCATTCCGTAGACAGAACTGCCGCCTCCCTGCGCGGCTGCGATGCTGACCTCGGTGGCAGGCCGGGGGCGCCGGAACCCAGCACGCACACTAAGTCGGTCCGAGCTCCACTCTGCTCCTGTAAGATACTAACAACCTGAGGTAGCTGTCCAGACTCAAGGCGGTAGTGATTTTGTGTGTCTGCGTATTTATCGCGGGGTCCGCGGCGGGACCGCAGGGGCTGTGTCCGACGTCCCCAGACCTCCAGCAGGGTCCGGAGCGATGAACATCTTCCATCAACTTCACCTCCGGGCGCTCGGTCACTGGTTCTTACTTCAGCCCTCCTAGCCCCATAGGTCGGCGCGTCCAAAACTTTTCTGGCACCCGGGGGTCTTTCCTAAGAAAAAGGCGCATCTCTCGCACATTTAACTCTCCGTCCGGTCTTTAAGTTCAGGCGCGCCAGGACCCGAGGTTCTTCCGAGCGGCAGCTCCGCTCCCGAGCCGGGCACTTCCCAGAGCATTGGCGCGGCCTCCGGGCGCGGGGGACAGCCTCGGGAGGACGGGACTCCGGGCGCCGCGCGCGGGCCGAGGACAGGCGGGCTGGGGAGGCCCTGCCCGCCGCCCCGCGTTCTCCCGGCCACGGCCACCCCGCGCATCCGGAGCTGCCGCAGACCGGCCGGGCCCAGAGCCCCACGCCCCCGGCCCGCCCCTAGCGGCCGCTTGTTTACTCCCCGGCGCAGCCTAGTCCGACCCTGGGGCCCGCCCCTGCCCACCGCCTATTGGCCGAGAAAGCGCGAAGACCGGCAACGATTGGCCCGGGGAGGCGCGGGGCGAGCGGGGTAGGCTGCGCGAGAGGCCGAGAGGGGGCGACAGGCGATGGCGGCGGCGGCAGCGGCGGCGGGTCTGTTAGGCTGGTTGTTCGCCGCGCTCTGCCTGGGCAACGCCGCGGGGGACGCCGCGCCGGGCCCGCGAGTGCTGGGCTTCTGTCTGGAGGAGGATGGAGCGGCGGGCGCGGGGTGGGTACGCGGAGGGGCGGCGCGGGACACGCCGGACGCCACCTTCCTCCTGCGCCTCTTCGGCCCGGGCTTCGCCAACAGCTCTTGGTCCTGGGTGGCCCCCGAGGGGGCGGGCTGCCGGGAGGAGGCGGCCGCCCCCGCGGGCGAGTGGCGCGCGCTGCTGCGCTTGCGCCTGCGGGCCGAGGCCGTGCGCCCGCACTCGGCGCTGCTGGCGGTGCGCGTGGAGCCGGGTGGCGGGGTGGCCGAGGAGGCGGCGCCTCCCTGGGCTCTGGGCCTGGGGGCGGCCGGGCTGCTGGCGCTGGCAGCGTTGGCGCGCGGCCTGCAGCTGAGCGCGCTGGCGCTGGCGCCGGCGGAGGTGCAGGTGCTGCGCGAGAGCGGCTCGGAGGCGGAGCGTGCGGCGGCGCGGCGTTTGGAGCCCGCGCGGCGCTGGGCCGGCTGCGCCTTGGGCGCGCTGCTGCTGCTGGCCAGCCTGGCGCAGGCGGCGCTGGCGGTGCTGCTGTACCGCGCGGCCGGCCAGCGTGCGGTGCCTGCTGTGCTGGGCAGCGCGGGGCTCGTGTTCCTGGTGGGCGAGGTGGTGCCGGCCGCCGTGAGCGGTCGCTGGACGCTGGTGCTGGCGCCGCGCGCGCTCAGCCTCAGCCGCCTGGCCGTCCTGCTCACTCTGCCCGTGGCGCTGCCCGTGGGGCAGCTGCTGGAGCTGGCAGCGCGGCCCGGGCGGCTGCGGGAACGGGTGCTGGAGCTGGCGCGCGGCGGCGGCGACCCCTACAGCGATCTCAGCAAGGGCGTGCTGCGCTGCCGGACCGTGGAGGACGTGCTCACGCCCCTCGAAGACTGCTTCATGCTGGACGCCAGCACCGTGCTGGACTTCGGCGTCCTGGCCAGCATCATGCAGAGCGGCCACACGCGCATCCCCGTGTACGAGGAGGAGCGCTCCAATATCGTGGACATGCTCTACCTCAAGGACTTGGCCTTCGTGGATCCTGAAGACTGCACGCCGCTCAGCACCATCACTCGTTTCTACAACCATCCGCTCCACTTCGTCTTCAACGACACCAAGCTGGACGCTGTCCTGGAGGAGTTCAAGCGAGGTAACATCCCGGGCATGGTGCAGGGGACGCCTGTGCCAGTGCCCTCTCCCTGAAAAGGGATGGAGAGTTATGAAAGCCTTCAGGAAAGGGTCCCACCCCCGTGGCGTGCGGTGAGACTTCTAAGGTCCCTTTTCAAGACGGTATTGGCCTTGCAGGTTGGAATCACCTTTTGAAATACTTAAAGGCCATCCATCAGAGTAGGAGGAATCCTTTAGACAGCGAACACTTTTAACCCCCGCGTCAGGATGGCACCCCTATACATATCCTATTTGCAGGGAGGGGTATGTCCGCTTGGCTCTAATCCCCCAGCTCTTCCCCTCTCCCAGAGCGTTTCTGTGTGCTTGTCTTTGTAGCAGGTCCAAATGTTTGGATAGAAACTAGAAGAACACAGAGAAGAGGGTAGTCTCCAGGTATCTGGGACGTTGTGGCCCGCACACATGTAATGTCAAATTGACTGAACGTGTGATGTTTCCTTCAGAGCGTTCTTAAGGTCTCTGGCTTTACTGCAGATAAGGGTATTTAGGTGTCAATCTCTTATCTGCAGTAAAGCCAGGGAAACTTACACTTTGCTTTCCCCAAAAGTAACTCCACGGATGCTGACTTAGTCTCCCTTTCTCTCGGCTCTGTCGCCCAGGCTGGAGTGCAGTGGCGCGTTCTCGGTTCACTGCAACCTTCGCCTCCCAGGTTCAAGCAATTCTCCTGCCTCAGCCTTCCGGGTAGCTGGGACTACAGGTGCACGCCACCATGCCCGGCTAATTTTTGTATTTTTAGTAGAGACGGGGTTTCACCACGTTGGCCAGGCTGGTCTTGAACTCCTAACCAGGTAATCCACTTGCCTCACTCTCCCAAAGTGCTGGGATTGCAGGCGTGAGCCACTGTACCTGGCCTTTTTTTTTTTTTTTTTTTTTTTTTAATCTCCTGTGTTAAAAAAATTTTATATAGAGACAGGGTGTCACTATTTTGCCCAGTCTGGTCTCAAACTCCTGGCCTCAAGTGATCTTCCCACCTTAGCCTCCCAAAGTGTTGGGATTACAGGCGTGAGCCACTGCACCCAGCCTAACCTACTCTTTTCTATCTGTAAGGTTTCAAGTTCTCCCTTCACTCCACATTTTCATCCCTTCTTTCACTCTGTTTTATCTAAGCAGTTCGGAGATTGAAGGTAAAACCGATACTCCCCAGATGTGAAGGTGTGGTTTCCTCTGTAGTCCTCCCCAGCGTCATCCTTAGGGGTGCTCCCCAGAGTTTGGTGCTCACACCTTGGCCAACAGCCATGCTTCTCACACCTGCACTCCTGTAGGGTGAGGGTGGGGGCACCCCAGGGTGGTGGATGGGCTTGACCCTAAAGGCTGTCTGCTGTGAGACCAAGAAGTGGCAAAGCCTCCTGGTATTTGTGGCAGGACGTCTCTGGCACTGTCTGTCGAGAGCCCCTGGCCTGCCGGTGCAGGAAGCCAGGCTTTGTGGTAATGACTGCTACTCCTGACTGAGCACTGCTGTGTGCCAGGAGCTGATGGGCACTCTGTAATCTCGTCCCTTATTCCTTGCAGGAGGCCTGGGTGCTAAGTTACTGTCATTACTGTAGCTCAGGAAGGGGTGGTGGGAGGCTTGGATGGGCAGCTCTAACTATTCTCTTAGACTGTTGGGTGCTCCTGGCTGTGTCCCTAGAACATGGCCATGCCACCCTGCCCTGGGGAGGGAGCCTGGGCTTGGGTCCAGACAGAGCCTCGTGGTGGTAAGTACTCCATGTGGGCTGCCGGAGCCCAAGGCAGGGGTGGTTCTCCTGGTGTGGTGGCCAACAGTGCAACCCTGGAATCAACGGAGTAGGTTCCATCCTGCCCTTGCCTGCTCCCAGCCCCGGTAGGCTGCTCAGCCCCGGTAGGCTGCTCAGCCTCTTGTAGCGCAGGCTCCTCTGCTGCTAGTGATCAGAGTGGGTAAGTGCACCTGCGGCGGAGACTCATCAAGCACTTTGGCCAGTGCCTGGCATGCATGTGCTGTGTGCTTGGCGTTAGCAGGCTCTGCTGGTAGGTGAGCCGTTTCCCAGTCCAGGCGCAAGGGGTGAACCTGGAAGTGCAGATTTCTGTTTCTTCCAGGCAGGTCACCAGACTTCCTTCTTTTCAGGGAAAACGTGGAAGACTGTAGCTGTCCCTTTGGTGTTCTAAGCACTCACGTTTCTAGATTCTTTAAGAAAACGCTCACTCTGGTGTCTGGCTTCAGCCAGCTGCTGCTTTCAACAGTTGAGCAGTCCCCAAGCAGAGATTTGAGGCAGTGGAGATGGAAGGGTTGCCCCGTTCAGAAGTAAAGGCGACTTCCGTGGTTGGTCGTGATGCTTAGGATGAGGCTGGTGAAAGTGGTCTTTCATTTCCAAACCCTTAGGGTCAGGATCTTGGCTGCCGTGGTCTTGTCTTTCAGATGCGATGGATGAGCTCGGTCCAGGGTGGTTGGGGCTTCCACTTGGGGAAGAATCGAAAATGTTCATGTTCATTGGGAAGGAGCCTAGAGGCAGGATGTTCCCCGGCGGGGGTGGGGGGTACGGTTGTGTGCTGTGTAAGGATCTTGGACTTGATCACCAGGGCCACGAGCATCAAGTAGCAGCATCAGTTTTTTTTTTTTTTTTTTTTTTTTTTTTTGAGACAGAGTCTCGCTCTGTTGCCCAGGCTGGAGTGCAGTGGTGCAATCTCCACTCACTGCAAGCTCCGCCGCCTCCCGGGTTCACGCCATTCTCCTGCCTCAGTCTCCCGAGAAGCTGGGACTACAGGTGCCCGCCACCACGCCCGGCTAATTTTTTTGTGTTTTAGTAGAGACGGGGTTTCACCATTTTCGCCAGGATGATCTCGATCTCCTGACCTCATGACCTGCCCGCCTCGGCCTCCGAAAGTGCTGGGATTATAGGCGTGAGCCACCGCGCCCGGCCAGCGTCAGTTATTTTTACAGATCAGTAATGACTGTGGAGACCAGCGGTGTGAGGGATCCAGGTGAGAGGGGGTGATAACCTGAACAAGGTGCATGGCAGGCCTGGAGAGGAGCCCCAAGAGGGCAGCAGAGATGGAATTAGGAAGATTGGTGTCTGGCAGCGGGGCTGTGCAACAAGGAGCAGCAGCTGAGGATGAGGCCCAGATTTCTGACTGTGTGGTGGCGATGCACCTTCACTAAGGGCCAGGCATGGGGAGCAGGTTTTGGCCGTTGAATTTATGTCTATGCAGTGTCCCAAGAGGCAAACTTCTAGCAGGCGGTTGATGTGAACTGCAAGTGGGAGGCAGAATAGAGTGTCTCTCCAGTCACGGGAGGCAGGCAGAGAGCCTCAGCCTCCCAGGAGCACAGGTGTGTCCGGGGCAAGCAAAGCCCAGGAGAAGTTGGCCAGGAGGAGGCCAGACCAAGGAAGGAGGAGAGCCCGAGATGTGGAATGTCCTGGAAGCTAAGGGAAGACACCGCTTTCCCAGGGAAGGTGAGTGACAGGAGAGGAGGCCAGCAAACAGGATACCGTTGACCTCTGCAAGAGCAGATTTGGTGCCACGGCAAGGGAGCCATTTGAGGAATGAATGAGGTGTGGAAAGGTACGAGAACCAATGTAGACAGCCCTCCACGGAGCGTGGCTGCAGAGAGCAGTGACCGGCAGAGGACTGGGGCAGGGGAGGAGGCCCTCTGCTGTTTGGTTTTAAGATGGGCAAGTGGAGCAGGTTCAGACTGAAATGCAGGTGGAAATGGAGCTAGGAAGGAAATTAGAAAGGCCGGGGTCCAGGCTGCTCCTGTTCTGGGCTGGGTGGCCTCCAGGCAGGTCACAAGCAGCCCGATGCAGGAGGATTTGGGGATGAGTGCCTCTGCTTGAAACGGACCTTTCTAAAAGCTGCCTGACAGCACGCTGAACAGGATCCCCTTGGAAGACAATGGGGGAGGTTTTTGGAACCTGGAAGTTGAATGAGGAGCTTTTTAATCCCCCTTGACTTCCCCGCTCCTGTGGTGAGTGAGGGCCATTCGTGGGCAGACTGGCCGTGTCTCTCTGGTGACATCCCAGAGCTTTTTTCTCTGCTTCTCTAGTTCAGTGCAGTCCTTTGGCAAATATATTTTTTCTGTGTTAAAGTCCTTTTTGTCCTTCCTAACCTTCTTAGGCATTCCTCGGCTTAGGAACAAAGAGCATATTGCAGCTTTTGTGGTGTGTGAAGTTTTAAAAATCGATTCCCTTCTCATCTCTCTGCCAAGCGTATGAGCCTCTGAATTTCCTGGAGCTGGAGTCCCTGCCATCTTGGCATTCATTCCAGCTCTTGTTTCTTTTGCTCCGTCTGCTAGGGAACTTTAGTCTGGGGGTGAGGTAACCTCCCCATCAAGGCACCCCTCAGTCAGTGCCAACTTGAGATGACATGCTGATTGTTTTGTGCAGACGCACCAGGAAGAGTGAGTGCTTCGGAGCAGTAATAAATAAGTCGGACAGCTGCTCCTTGACTTACAAATGGGGTTATGTCCCGATAAACCCACTGTACATTGAAAATACCTTAAGTCAAAAATGTGTTTGATACATCTAACCTACCAAACAAAATAGTTCGGCCTGGCCCACCTTAAACATGCCCAGAACACTTACTTTAGCTTGCAGTTGGGCAAAGTCATCTAACACAAAGCTATTTTAAAATGAAGTGTTGAATATCTCATGTAATTTATTGACTGCTGTACTGAAAGTGAAAGCAGAATGGTTATATGTGTTTGAAGTACAGTTTCTGCTGAATACATATTGCTTTTGAACCATCAAATTTGAAAAATTGTAATTTGAACCATGGTTAAGTCAGGGACCTTAATGTACAAAAGAACGTTATTGGCCAGGCGCGGTGGCTCAAGCCTGTAATCCCAGCACTTTGGGAGGCCGAGACGGGCGGATCACGAGGTCAGGAGATCGAGACCATCCTGCGGCTAACACCTGGTGAACCCCGTCTCATTACGTAAAAAAAATACCAAAAAAAAAAAAAAAAACTAGCCGGGTGGGTGGCCAGGCTGCCTTTAGTCCCAGCTACTTTGGACGCTGAGGCAAGGGAGAATGCATGAACCGGGGAGGCGGTAGCTTGCAGTGAGCTGGAGGTCCGGCCACGCACTCCAGCCTGGGTGACAGAGGCGAAGACTCCGTCTCAAAAAAAAAAAACAAAAAAAAACATTATGTTACTATTATTATTATTATTATTTTGGAGATGGTCTTGCTCTATTGCCAGCTGGAGTGCATGGCACAATCTC